TGGGAGGAGAGATGTTGGGGGAGAATAGGGTTGGGGGGAGAGAGGGTTGGGGGAGAGGGTTGGGAGAGAGAGGGTTGGGAGGGGAGAGGGTTGGAAGGAGAGGGTTGGGAGGAGAGAGTGTTGGGAGGGGAGAGAGAGGGTTGGGAGAGAGGGTTGGGGAGGAGGAGAGATGTTGGGGGAGAGATAGGGTTGGGGAGAGAGGGTTGGGAGGAGAGATGTTGGGGAGAGAGGTTGGGGAGAGAGGTTAGGGGAGATAGGTTGGGCAGAGAGGGTTGGGGGATAGAGGTTGGGGGAGAGAGGGTTGGGAGGAGAGAGGTTGGGGGAGAGAGGTTTGGGAGGTAAGAGACACAAGCGACCATTCACACTGACCACTTTGGCGTGATGAAACACATTCACAATGTTTGTGACATACTTTTCTAAATATATTTACGTATGTATGTATTTTTTGGCTGTTGTTGTTTCCTACGGCTTTTAAAACCGTTAACATTCCAACAATATCACATGGTCTTCACACGTATTACCGCGACTGATGCTGGCAATCGAACCCGCCCTTCGGTGTGAGCAGCGAACGGTTTACCAGTAGGCCACCGCAATATTCAGTGCATAGGGTATAATTGTTTGTTGCTAAATCTGGCATGCTGCTTTTCTGCAAAAATAAAATAAAAAATGGAAACGTAAAAGTGGAAAAATGGAAATATCTGACATTTTCGCTGAAATTTCCCATGTCGACATGTATCAAGGGCGATTTGTGCGAGTATAATAAACTACAGCCACAAAAATACCGAAAAGTCCGGGGAATGAAAAAAGTAACCACATTGGAGTATGGCTACCCAAAACACCAACATGAAATGAATATACAACATGAATTACTGGGATATGACAAGAATGAGTTTTCATGTGTCTCTCATCAGAAGTGAGCACGCTTATGCTTTTCAAATTTCATGTACAATGACTGTTAAATTAATTACTAGAATATTACGTAAACAGCTAGGGTATTTGCGTAATAACATTTGCTAAGACCTTATTATGTTTCTTTATTTAATATATTCTTTCATTACTAACTGCCCTCCCTTTGCTTAAAAGTCTGAGATTTCTGATATCATAACCGTATGTTTTAAGGCCTTATAACATTAACTTATAGGGCCCCCGTATGCAGGAAATATGGTCTGCAGTACGATCAATGTCACTCGCTGTCAATGACTTCACCTCCCACCATATCGCAGTACCTATTGCAATGTAGTTATCTAACCGCGCTATATTCGAAGATATTTGCCAATTACAGGGCATGTGTGTAGCGAATTTAACTATATTTAACTATTTTTATTATGGAATGCGATAATCTAGTATATCCCTTAGCTGCTTCAGCTCTACTTATGTTTAGAAGAAGAAAATTATTATATCGTATGATATTACACCACCCACTTTTTCTTTAAGTTTTACTGTGTGTGTATAGAGGTATATTTTATATATGCATTGGTTTATGGATTTTATGTGTCTCGTAGGTATGTAAAGGCCGGGCAGATGTTTTATATGTGATACTGAAGATTTTATATATTATGTAAACATTTGCGTGACACAATAATAAAATAATTTCTTTCTCTCTCTCTTCTCTCTCTATAATTCTGTAGCCAGTTAAGAAGACTTCATTCTATGGCAAGTGTCACTAAACTTCAGTCTATAGCCAGTTTCACTATACTTCAGTCTATTGCCACATTCACTAAACTTCAGTCTATAGCCAGTTTCACTATACTTCAGTCTATTGCCAGTTTCACTAAACTTCAGTCTATTGCCAGTTTCACTAAACTTCAGTCTATTGCCAGTTTCACTAAACTTCATTCTATAGCAAGTTTCACTAAACTTCAGTCTATTGCCAATTTCACTAAACTTCATTCTATAGCAAGAACCCGGGTTCGATTCCCCACATGGGTACAAATATGAAGCCCATTTCTGGTGTCTCCAGCCGTGATATTGCTGGAATGTTGCTAAAAGCGGCGTGAAACTAAACTCACTCACTCACTATCCCTTTGACCATCATCACTCAGAAACTCAATAATATTGATAACATCAAAGAAAATAAAAATGGCGGCATCTGACGTCCCTGCCCCACGCCGAACAAACAATAAAACATTCAGAAGGGCCTTCAGAAAGAAACACGGGAAACTACCTTTGCATACATATTGTTAATAAAAAAACAAAAACTACCTTTCAAACTATTAGTCCACAACTTGAAGTAACCACTTCCTGATACGGAGTCGAAAGCTGTTTTCAAATCTATAAAAGCACAGTACACTCTGCCCATATGAAGGGATAAGTACTTATTAATGATTTCATCTAGTACGAAAATATCATCAACAGTCAGGCATCCCTTCCTAAAACCATATTGTTCCAAAACTAAAATACTGTTAGTCTCTGTCCAACACATTCGAAAATATCATCTTTTCCGAAAACTTCGAACAGTGTGATAGTTAGATGGCAAATTAACACTTTTCTTTTTGTGCAAAGGTATAGTTGGACTTGCTGTCAACAAAGGAGCGTTATGTAAGACTTTAATTGGCATTACGCTGTAACCAGGTGCAATTAAACAGTTCTGCAAGTGTATCGTATTATCTTTGGAAGATATTTCTCTACCAGTTCTCATGGCTCATTGTCGCTTCTCTCACATCGTGATCGGTAGATTCTACAAAACTAACAATAAACGGATACGGTCCTCTGGTGATGCATTAAGATGATGAAGCTAATTTCAAACATTCCATTCACCAGGTGAGGTGTTATTAATAGCACTAACTGATCCAGACTTACAGCAGACCAGAAACATTTATTGCAATTGTTTAATATGAATGTCATTAAAGTATCGGCTGTGACCCACTGTGTTTATATACAGTACAACCAGAAATTATTGAGAATTTAAAGATTGTAATTTTTTATATTTTTTTCACTCATTACTCACGTATTAATGTGAATATTAGCAGAACATAACTCCAGATTCAAAGACAGGTGAACAGTTAGTATTTTGTCAAGTCACCATGGGCAGCAATGCAGGCTTCGATGCGGCGGGGCATACTACTGATCAAAGAAGTTAGAAAGTCGTGGTCCATGCTGTCCCAATATCGGACCACCTCTTCTTTCATTTCAGCAATATTTGTCAGATTTTTCTTATTGACACTTTCCTTCATAAGTCCCCAAACATTTTCTATTGGATTTAGGTCAGGGCTATAGCTTGGCCAATCTAATAATGTCAGATTTTGGGTCCGAAACCAGGCCTGTGAATACTTTGAACGATGTTTTGGGTCGTTGTCCTGCTGGAAAATCCAAAACTTTCCGTAGAACACGTGAGCAGATGGAAGTAAATGTCCCTCGAGAATATCTGTGTACCGCTCACTGTTCATATTCCCTTCAAATACACAGAGGGGTGTTGCCCCTAACACAGATATGCCACCCCACACGTTGAATTTCGGACTGTACTTTGGGCGCTGATACAAAGGTTGATTATACTAGAAATCCAATTAAACATATTCGTACAATTCTCAATAATTTCTGGTCATACTATACGTGCGAGCTTTTCACCGCTGAGATCTAGTTTCAACAGCATATCGGTTTGGGGTTTGCCATATCTAACCATTGAGAATTTCTTCTATTCCCGATCGTTCTTTAGAAAAGACTTAAATTTTTGTCACGTTAATCTCACACTGTCACTGAAGTTGAGAGACTTAAGTCTTACTGCACTTCAAATTTCCTGATCATTTCAAAACTGACACTTTCTGTTTGAAAAGATGTGTTACCAGTACTGATGTTGGTCCACGTGGATTTGATGGCAGATTAAGTGAGTGAGTGAGTATGGTTTTACGCCGCTTTCAGCAATATTCTGGCAATATCACGACGGGGGACACCCGAAATGGGCTTCACACATTGTACCCATGTGGGGAATCGAACCCGGGTCTTCGGCGTGACAAGCCAACGCTTTAACCACTAGACTACCCCACCGCTCCTAATCCACATTAAGAAATTGAAATTGTGTTGGCGTTTCCTTCAGCAAGCCTACACAGATCATATACATTCCATCTAAGTCGAATGTTTCGTAACGTTTTCACTTATCGCCCTCATTTCCTTGAGTTCTTTAATGACTTCTGGGGCACATATAATCATGCCAATAATGGTTGGCACCCCCCTCTCCAATTAAAAAAATTAAAGGGGATCACAACCATTATTGGCATGTGTATATTTCACCATCTATTGTCGTCTGTCTCCCTCTAGGCTCGGGGTTGACCACCACGCCATTGGCGGTTAAGCAGAAGTAAACACGACAGAAACAAAGTGTTGAATTTATATAATTACAGAATTGTGTCATTTTTGTTTTAAATTTCATTCAATGGGCATTAAACGAAAATACCCAATGGGACATTCATATCAAGTGTGAGTTTCAGGGGTTATTAACAAGGATTGTTTTATTCCTAATTTTCGGATTACACTGACGAATATTTGTAAACTGTCTACCGTTTACCAAGTACAATGATCAAAAGTAACATACGTATGGTTAAATGTTGTCAAAGTCAACTCTCTCTGTATACACGATACATAATCATGAATGGGCTTGTGTGAGAACAAAAGAGGGTCTGAAGTACGAAAACAAACATGCAGGTCTGCTCCTTAGCACCAGAGCAAAGTCTCAATGAGTATAATGTGTATTAATCAACTGGTACTATCGTGCCGCTGTTTGTAATAAATAAATAAATTTAAATTTCAGCTACAGTGCCTGGGCGCTCTCTCACGTGCACGTACTGACGTTTCTGTCGATTAACGAGATACGAATGATAAGATAACAACCACCAGACTTTACACTGGTTCTTAGATTAGTTTTAGCATTAATTTTCTACATAATATATAGGTTATTTTAAGGTTTTAAGGTTTGCTTTATAAACAGTTTATATATTCAGTTGAAGTCGGATCGTTGTCGCTAAATTAAGTATAAGGGAGATCACTCTAAATGCTTGTTCGTTTGGGGTTGATAGCGCATCAAATTTTCCTCTGCCGTATAGTACTTATTCCGCCATTGCAAAACAAACCTTGCTTTGTCACGCGTGGATACCGGTGTGTGTGTATATCTGGTTTTGGGTAAGTATTCAGTTTTATCTTCAATTATTTTTACTGAATCTGCCAGTTGAGGATCTGTGGTAGAGATGTTTTAAACTCATATCATGCTTTGCATGTGTGTCTGGGCGTTTGGTCGACTGGAAAATACGTGAAACGTTAGTTGATTTCACAGCATGACTTCGTGTTTTTGCAGTCCGTAAACTATTTCATTTTGACAATAAATTTCTAAAGTAAACCCACAGTGTTATCGCATTAACCAAATGAAGAAAATGCTAATGGTTAAACTGTTTTGTTTTTTCTCAGGTCAAGAGGAATCATGTTTCTTACCAGATCTGAGTATGACCGAGGTGTTAACACCTTCTCGCCGGAGGGACGACTATTCCAGGTGGAATATGCCATTGAGGCAATCAAAGTATGTACACTGACAGGAGAAAACTAGATCACGTGGGATTAATACTGCCAGCACACATTGTGATTTTCAAATAGCGCCGAGCCCTGATCCTTAGAACTCTCCAAACCTAACAGCTCATAGTGAAAGCTGTGAAATCCATACATATCCTAATCACTCCTCCTTCCTTTATTTAAATGAGTGGCACTCAGCTAATTGCTTTTCTCATGATCCAGGGGTGGAAATAACTTTAAAATTGCTAGTGTACTCTGGTACAGTGGCACATGTAAAATCACTTGCCCTGATCATTTTTCCACTATACCGGACGTTTTATTGCTGATTTTTTAAAACAAACAACATTATTAACATTGGAGAGTCAACTGGACACCGGTACAGCGTGATATACTAACTTGCTTGCCCGACAGAAAAAAACACTTGACTCGGACGCCGGGCAATGGGTTATTTCCACCCCTGTCATCGTTTATGATACAAATTCACTTGGTAGTCTTTATATCCATATTTGAAACAATGTCTAGCATAACAGGAAGTACACATAAAATGATTAATTATCATGCCTAGAGATGTTTGGCAGCAAGTTCCCTATTGTCATTTACAATACAAAGTCTCTATTGTTTGTTCTCCTCTGACAGTCTTGTTTAGACAGGTTATACTACACATAATAACAGTTATACTGTGCACAAGAAAATACAAAGTTACCTCGGGTATATGTTCCATGTTATGCGTAACGTATGAGTTATCCATGGAAATGAGACCCAAGTTATCATGTGGTGAGGGATGACTGTACTTGTTACACAACTCATGTCAAGATGGTTCCCTCTAAGACTTGTTCAGATTGTATATGTTGTAATATACTGATGCCATTTTTATTTTACCTACTTTAAACTGGATGTTTTCTCGTGATTTGAAAATATCAGCAATGAGCAGATATCAGCTTTAAGTAAATGACTAGATTTAGCTGTACATTTTCTTTGTCGTTATTTTCAAGCTTGGATCAACTGCAATTGGCATCCAGACAGGAGAAGGGGTTGTCCTGGCAGTGGAAAAAAGAGTCACGTCCCCCTTGATTGAACCTTCCAGCATTGAGAAGATTATGGAAGTTGACAACCATATAGGTACTGTTTACATATAATGATGTGAAATGACAAGTCAAATTAAGTCAGATTTGTTCCCATCATCATGATCATACAACCACTTTACAAACAATGGCCACACAGCTACTGTCATAGCTATATTAGCTCTAATTCAAAAGCTTGACCAACCTGGGTACAGATGAAATGCCCTTGTGATGTTGAAACAATGAGTAAGATGGGAATTTAGGAATTTGTACTAGCTAGTATTATTTGGGCTAGTATTAGTATTTAGTTTGAATCCTGCTACCCCAAACTTGACTTGGGAAATAATATGGGCAGTTTTACCTTGATGACTCTCACCAATTGGGCTGTCATTTGCTTGGTGCATATACATCTCCAAAGCAGTGTTTTTCACTGCATTAGCCAGCTGAAGTAGAGTTTGACTTTCTTCTGAAGGGTGCGCCATGAGTGGTCTCATTGCTGATTCCCGGACACTGATCGACAGAGCAAGAACAGAAGCACAGGTGAGAATGCAGGTCCCTGTTATTTCTGTCTGAGAAAGCTTTATGCACACTTCAGTGATACTACAGCTATAATTCATTTGTAAGTCATCAACCTGCTTTTGGGTTGATAATTATAAAACAAGTTTTGCCCATCACACTTACCCATCAAACTGATGGTTACTTAATGCTAAAATGTCAGTGTTTGGTAACACTGTTAATAGGCCTTCGCAGTCTTAGGAATAATATGGTTTTGGATTATCATCATGGGCAAAATACAGGAAAGTAATTGATATTGTCTTACCATGATCATTACCCAGTGTGAAAAAAATAAAGAAACGATTATCATGGCATTAGGATGCAAACACTATAACTGCGAGCATTGTGTTTCAGAACCACTGGTTCACCTACAATGAGAAGATGACCGTGGAGAGCGTGACCCAGGCAGTTAGTAACCTTGCCCTAGCCTTCGGTGATGATGATGCAGACCCAGGTGCCATGGTTAGTGTCCAGCTTGTGGGTCAGGAATGAATGAGGATATCGGACAATATCTGGTTTGCCCAAGTCTGTGATTATGTCCAGACAAGGATCTGTCAGCACAATTGTTTGTATCTGTGTATATTGTGATATTGTTGAGATCTTTACACCCCTGATTCAGAAGAATGTTAGAAGATGCCACGGGGCGGTGGGGTAGCCTAATGGTTAAAGCGTTGGCTCGTCACGCCGAAGATCCGGGTTCGAATCCCCACATGGGCACAATGAGTGAAGCCCATTTCCGGTGTCCCCAGCCGTGATGTTGCTGGAATATTGCTAAAAGAGGCGTAAAACCAAACTCAGTCAGTCAGTAGAAGATGCCACAGACACAAGCCAAGGCTTCTTTTACTCAACAAGTTTTAGTCCACAGAATTCTCCTCATAACTTTGCACAAAGAATCATAGCCCGATTAACTATATATTGTATCCCAACTAATGGTTTTACTACAAGTGTCTATAAAATTTATATATGTTTGATATACCCCAATTATTTTAACACCGAGGAATGTTTCTGCACTGATTGAATACAGGTATCGGGGCAGTTAGGTGGCGTAGCCTAGTGTTTAAAGCGTCCGCCCGTCATGACTTCCACTATCAGGAAGCCACACTTTGCTTGTTTCACGTTAAACCTAAAGCATAAGTATATTGTGTAATGTCTAACTCATTGACTTGAAATAAGTCATACACTTAAAATACCGTATAATACCCAATGAAAATGGAAATATTCAATGGGAATGCTTACATACATATAATACCCAATAGCTCAACATTATCATTTGATTATATGTATCACTGACACTATCTATCCAGTCCGATAGTCATTATAGAGTCAATGAAAACAGATGTAAAATAGTTTTATAAACATGAACTCATCAAGTATGTGTTTTCTGATCCATAGTTTCCTGTTTTACAGAGTCGACCATTTGGAGTAGCACTGTTGTTTGCGGGTCTTGACAAGAAGGGCCCACAGCTGTAAGTGTTTCCCATTTATATCTGTTATATTCTGGTTGTTTTCCTTCATTGGCAGGTGTGTATAGTTTTACTGTCGGTTGTTATGAATATGTAACTTGTTTTGGTGATGATATGGACCCGTGAAGATCCGGGGTAGAATAGGTCTTCAGCAACCCATGCTTGTCGTAAGAGGCGACTAACGGGATCGGGTGGTCAGGCTCACTGACTTGGTTGACACGTCATCGGTTCCCAATTGCGCAGATCGATGCTCATGTTGTTGACCACTGGATTGTCTTGTCCAGACTTGATTATTTACAGACCGCCGCCATATAGCTGGAATATTGTATTGGCGTAAAACTAAACTCACTCACTCACTGGTGATGATATGGCTGAAATACTGCCAGTGTGACTTAAAATCTCAACTCACTCACTCTCACTGTAGGTGTGTCTACAGACTGATGGCATGAGGACTAGAAAACTGTCGCTGATGAACTGTCACAGTGTTCAGGTGTTCTAGAAACTATGTCTCTGCTCTAGGTGTCACTGTACACAGTGGTGGAATTTTTTGTTATGGTGGTGTTAAAGTGTATGCATAAAGAACCTCCACAGTACAGTCAGCTCATGAGATAGGAGTCCAGTATCATTACCCAACTGTTGTCCAGATGAGGGACGCTCGGGTAGTCTAGTGGTTAAAGTGTTCACTCATCACGCCGAAGACCCGAGTTCGATACCCCAAATGGGTAAAAAGTCTGAAGCCCATTTCTGATGTACCCCACTTTTATTTCATTGGAATATTGCTAAAAGCAGCATAAAACTAAACTCACTCACTCACTTGTCTAGATGTCTGAATGTGAATTAGTCAGTGATATAAGGAGGCATGCCTGTACCATGTGTTCTCTCTGTCAGGTTTCACATGGACCCCTCTGGGACCTTCATCCAGTATGATGCCAAGGCCATCGGGTCTGGGTCTGAGGGAGCCCAGCAGGCACTGCAGGAGGTGTATCATAAGGTGGGTAGGATATTGTCAACGTGTGTATATGCGTCAACTGGGGAATTAGCTCATAATTAGATGAAGTGTGCATTGATGAAGACGAAGGCATAGTTGAGTTCAAAATTCTTTAGTTTCATGACAAACAAATACACAAGACATGAGCGAGATGAGCGGTGTACCTGCTCAACCCCAGGGCGTTTCCTACAAGCGGCATTCTCCTGCTCGTGGTCGTCCCAACAGACAGTCCAAATACCGAACTCGTACTTCTCCACTGTCCAGATGTGAGCATACTAAGTATATATACAGTTTTTGACAACAATGGACAGGCGACGACTCATCGATGGGCAGACAGAAAAACAATAGCACTTCCTTGACCAGTTGATGTGATGGCAGACACGGCCAAGGGGGATTACCAATGAAGGTTATAAATGTCTTATACAATAATTAACGGGCTGACAAGTCAATTTACAATGCGGTAGTGATAAGGATGTACAGTAGTGATTAAAAATACAGCTTAGCGTCATATATATATATTACAATAAAGTCTCACATTTCTCGAGTACATAGTTTTGGACTTTTTAAATATTTGGACGATGGCTGTCCTGAATTAGTCCCTATAACAATATGATGAGGTAGTCAGTATGTCATAAGTTGGGTAGGATATCTTAGGTTGGTTGGACTTACGAGGTGGGTGGGGGCGTGGCCTAAGGTTGATTGTATATTATAAGGTGGATTGTGGTGTACCACAAGATAAGTAGTATATCATCAGGTGGGTAGGGGCGTGGCCTAAGGTGGATTGTATATTATGAGGTGGATTTTGGTGTACCACAAGATGGGTAGTACATCATGAGGTGGGTGGGGACGTGGCCTAAGGTGGGTGGAGGCGTGGCACAAGGTGGATTGTATATTATGAGGTGGATTATGGTGTACCACAAGATGGGAAGAACATCATGAGGTGGGTGGGGGCGTGGCCTAAGGTGGATTGTATATTATAAGGTGGATTGTGGTGTACCACAAGATGGGTAGTACATCATGAGGTGGGTGGGAAATTGGCCTAAGGTGGGTGGGCGTGGCCCAAGGTGGATTGTATATTATAAGGTGGATTGTGGTGTATCACAAGATGGGTAGTACATCATGAGGTGGGTGGAAAGTGGCCTAAGGTGGATTGTATATTATAAGGTGGATTGTGGTGTACCACAAGATGGGTAGTACATCATGAGGTGGGTGGGGGCGTGGCCTAAGGTGGGTGGAGACGTGGCCCAAGGTGGATTGTATATTATAAGGTGGATTGTGGTGTATCACAAGATGGGTAGTACATCATGAGGTGGGTGGGGGCGTGGCCTAAGGTGGATTGTATATTATAAGGTGGATTGTGGTGTACCACAAGATGGGTAGTACATCATGAGGTGGGTGGGGGCGTGGCCTAAGGCGGATTGTGGTGTACCACAAGATAAGTAGTATTGTATGGTGGATTGTATATTATAAGGTGGATTGTGGTGTACCACAAGATGGGTAGTACATCATGAGGTGGGTGGGGGTGTGGCCTAAGGTCGATTGTGGTGTACCACAAGATGGGTAGTACATCATGAGGTGGGTGGGGGCGTAGCCTAAGGTGGATTAGGTGCGGGTTTGGCATAAGGTGGGTTGTATATAAAAAGCTGGGTTGGGGTGTGGCCTAAGGTGGATTGGGGTGTGGCATAATATGGGTTGTACATCGTAAAGTGGCTTGGATATCATAAGCTGGTTTTGGCATAAGATGGATTGTATATCCTAAGGTGGGTGGCTGTATAGCATAAGATAGTTTAGGCACATCACATGAACCTGATTAGGCATTTACTGATTGTATCTGAGCTATGCTTGTCATGTTTAATGGCTTGGATGTGCACACACTTTGATTGTATTCCATACCTGATTCCACTACGTGAATACAGGTGATGAAGGCCGATGGTGGAACATCCTGTATTGTGTGGATGAATGTATATTTTTCCTTATCCTGACTCATGCTCTTTTGCTTGTCTTCTTCTTCTTGCGAACATAGTGGAACACTTGTATCTCCTTAATTGAAGCTCCCTTCAATGTAAAATCACTAATTGGTACTCACCAAGAGTTGCCTCCCTTGCCCTTTTGGCGGGAACAGGTGTCGCCACCCTCTGGCCTCATGCTTCACTCTCTCCTTCTTCGCCCAGTGAGCAGGATGTGAGAGCGCCTGTGTCTCCTTACACACTATATCCTTTGGTTTTTCTTAGTTTATTACCTCTTATAGGTTACTATAGAGGTATAGCTAGTATCCTTCAGTAATTTGCATTGATAATTAATCATTATTTCTACTGTTTATTCCGTGAGTTAAGTGATTGTTCAGCTAGTATTTACGTTGATGAAAATCTGTACTATTTGCAATTCACGTTTTCAGTTGCTGACCATGTATTATGCCCTAGTTGTGCTTTCGCCTTGTGCGTTTGATACGTTGCAGTTACTGCATTAATCTATCAATTCTGCTTTTCATAAATATCTTTGCGTCGTGAGGGCGTATCGCAGAATAGAGTCCGCGCAAACAAAGGGTTAGACATGGCCGATACATGGATTCCCCTTCCAGTCAGCTGCTGTCGATGGAGCCCCTCCCGTCTGGTGTTTAGCAAGAGACTCCGTCGGAAGATAGGCGTGGGATGCAGTCCGCCACCTCTAAGAAGCGTCCTGCCTCCCCAGGCGTCCCGTCATCGCAGCTAAAGTCCAAGAGGGCCACGGCGTCTTCCCAGCGCAGACCCGGACCCCAGGGCAGCGTCGACATCAAGGGGAAGTCTCGAAATCGTCAAGAACTTTCTCAGCCGAGATCGTTCCAGCGCCCGAACTGGGCCTCTCACGATGATCAGCCGATCATCATCCCTGGCGTCGCCACAAGAAGCGACCGGTGACAGCTACAGTGACATCAGCAGAGATCGCCATGCAGCCTGATGCCTCTACACTGATGTCAGGCGACTTCCCTGAGGGCTCAGCAGCTGTCATCGCGCAGAGAGGGCACCGACTACGCCGTCGCAGACCATCCCAGGCGAGCTGTTGCGGCAGATCATGACCATGATGGAGGCTACTACAGTCGAGGGAAAGCAGCCAGCCCAGGGCCCGAGCAGCGCAGGCGATACCCCAGAGGCACCCCAGTCAAGCGTAGCAGCCACGCCGAGCGAAGCAGCCGAGGAAGGAAGTCACAGACCACCTCGGCGAAGGGCGCAGATGTACAGTCTTAGCGAGGCCTTAGCCGAAGGCGGAAAGATCGTCACCGTCCTCGGCCTCATCATCAGATGCAGACTCAGACCACCAGGCGTCCACGGAAACCGTCCGCGGAAGTCAAAGGCGCCGCTCCCCAGGTCGGGCCGCAGAGGAAGCTGCGAAGGCCGTCCACACAGATCGTCATCGTCCAGAAGGGCGTCGAGGGACTATTCAAAGAGCTTCGCGAAGCCGTCAACATTCTCCTCGCAGATCTAGGTCTTCCCATAGGCGCCAGATCACCTAGAGCGATCTCCGCGCCATTCACCACGCCCGATCTCCGCATTACATCACCTCGCAGGTCACCACACAGAAGTCGGCACACAGGTCTACAGTCAGGTCTCCCGAGTGTCACCCGACATAGAGATAGCAGCCCACAGGTCACCATCAGAAGAGCATCAACCTCTCATCTCCGATGCTGGTACAGAAGATGATGGAGGCATCATCTTCTCAGACGCTGAGATAAGATATTGGATGGTAAACAACCTAGATTTATCTTCACCGTCCAAGAGTGGCAACTCAGCGCAGACATACCTGATGAAGGAAGACGATGCAGACGCCATCACCTTACCTCCGATCGACCCGATTGCTGCGGTGCCACATAATCTAGATACAGCCTTCATTAAAGCCGAATTCACGCTAAGAAGTTCTCCACGCACAACATGGAACCCTTCCTGAAGGCACAAGACATCGATGACAACTACAAGCTGATCAGCGATGTTAAGAACAAGAACTACAAGATTGACGATCGCAAGCTGGTGCAGATAGAAAACATGACGCGACGCATGTTTTTTGGCCTAAATAGATCTAGAACGATCTATGAGACACTTATCACCAGATTTCGTAATACGACCTCTGAAGATGATAGGATGATCTACTCGGCCCTACTGATGCAAAAGAAGGACCAGCAGTTCCTTACAGATCATCTCACATCTGTCTCAGCAGCACTGACCTTAACTTCGTCGTCAAGGCCTCCCTCGCTTCCTGCAGCTGGGGTGAGAACTTTACAGCTCCACTCTATACAGCCCGTGGTCATCCCCAAACATCTTTGATGGAGGAATAGACAAAGTCTCCAAAGGAAGTCACTAAGGACTCCAGAGAAGTCCTTATGATCAAGTCGATGGACCGCTAGCCAAGCGTCATCAGGCAGACTTCACAAAGATACTCAGGGAGATCTAAGTTCTCGGGACTACAGAAAGCCGCGGGATAGGAAGATATCCAGCACCAGGGGAAAAGATTCTTTTTAAATTAAGCCCATATGGCAACTATAGAGGAGGATCAGGAAGAGGCATGACACCCAGAGGTTCCGCACCTATAAAGCTGAAAGACAGGTTCGAGCGACTGGAGTCTTCCACCCCAGCCGTTCCAGTACAACCGTCACAAGTGGGTGGGCGCCTCCAACTACACTGGGAGAACTGGGGAATGTTACAAGAACCTTATGTCTCCAACATTCTTCAACCGCAGTTTCATTATCCCACTACAGGCCACGCCTCGCTGACAGTCAACCCTTACAAGTTTGACATACAGGCACAACAACTACCAAAGTTAAGAGAGGCGGTTACATCACTCATAACCAAACAGGCCATAGAAGTACTAGATCAAGTAAACATCGAACCAGGCTTCTACTCCCCAGTTTTCCTAATACCCAAGAAAAACTCAAGGAGAAATACAGACTCATTTACAACATGAGCTTTTCAACAGGAATTATCTCGCATGAAACCACCAAAGTTTAGCACAATACACCTTCCTCAGTTCACGGCAGTTGATTAAGCCCCATGGATTACATGGCCAGTATAGATCTGCAAGGCATATCTACATATCGATACATCCCGAATCCAGGAAATATCTAAGATTTACACTAGGCGGGCTACATTACCAATGGAAAGTACTCCCATTCGGCATATCATCAGCCCCTGGCTATTCCGAGGATAAGCAGAAACCTATTGTCACCTATCTACATCGTCTAGGGCTACGCGAGTCGCGTTCTACCTCGACGGACGGGATACAAGTAGATCAAGATCCACAGCGTCTCAAACTACAGTTAAACTACATCATAAAGCTACTAACACAGCTAGGATGGTTAGTAAACTTACTCAAGTCGGACCTAGTACCATCGCCAAGATCTGCAGTTCCTAGGCATTCGATTTATCCACGAATCACAACCGTATCGTCGTGCCAGAAGACCGTTGGCTCAAGATCCAACAGACCATTCAGCCAGCTCTACTCTCTCCGTTACCACTCGACAATGGCAGAGCTTGTTGGGTCTCCTCACATCAGCCCAAGACATGACAGTCTCAGGCAGATTACAGTTACGCCCAATACAGGTCTTCATCAATGCTCATCTCGGCGACCTACAACCATTCAGTCTACCCGAAGCGTCTCAGACCTCATCTACTATGGTGGACCAGGAGGTGAATGTTTAGAAGGTATTTGTTTAGAAGAGCAGGAATTCAAAACCCATCTATATGTAGGCCAGCGTGGCTCCAAGGTTGGGGAGCTCATCTAGCCAACCGGACGGCATCAGGGTTATGGAATCAGCAAGAAAGCAAGCTCCATATAAACATGTTAGAGATGAATGCTGTAATCAGCGCCATACTTCATTGGAGCACCATTCTACAGAATCGCGCCAATGATTCATACCGACAACTTCGACAGTGGCGTTCTATGTGAACAAACAAGGTTCAGCGAGATCACTGAACCTATTGACTTTAAGCTTTCAACTGTTAGATCTAATACGATCTAAACCTACATGTCAGAGGCATGTCACATTCCCGAGCCAAGAATGTACTAGCGGAAAGGCGCTCTCTGGAAGCCACATCAACCGTCACCGACAGAATGGATGCTCAATACAGAAATATTTGCACAGATAATCAAAGCAAATAGAAGCTAGCTAGTAGATCTATTAGCTAACTGCGCTTCAACAATCAGCTACGACATTACGTGTCACCAGTCCAGACCCACAAGCATGGGCAGCGGGCTCTAAGCATATCCTGGGAAGGCCTCAATGCGTCGCTGGCGTTTCCGCGCCAGCAATAATACCTCAAGTGTTACAGAAAATCAGACAAACACAGAGCCTCCAACTCACTTTGGTGGCGCCCTACTGGCCGGCTAGAGCGTGGTTTCCCATTCTAATTCAAGAAATCGGTCAACCAACACTAGAGCTACCCAAAAAGCTCAAATCTATTAATACATCCACACACCAAACAGGTGCGGAAGCCAGAAGTATTCCAACTTCGCATTATGGACTGTATTAAAATGTGTTTAAACAAGAGGGTATTCTACCAGAGTGACAAAAGCGGTCCAGCTTGCCTTCGCATAATTCTACGCGTGGCAATGTCGCGACGACAAAGTGGCACAGTTTTGAAATTGCAGCAGCAAATAAAGGGATTTACAGCAAGAGATGCTACTCATCCACAGAGTGGCAGATTATTTGTGTTATACGGCCAAAACAAACATTTAAAAGGCTCGACATTGTCAACATATCTTGCAGCGCTTAGTTCTGTGATTACCATGAGAACAGGTGTCAAATTGACAAAAACTCCAGAGTTACTGGCCTTACTCACGTGCTTTCGATGGGAGGACCAAAGCGGAAGTTCCGCGCTAGCTTGGGATCTGAATATAGTGTTACAACACCTCACAAGTGAGGCTTATGAACCGTTGGAATCGACAAACTTTGAATTTCTCTCACACGAAGCGGCTTTTCCTGTTATCTCTAGCCACAGCAGCCAGGATGTCAGGAAATTCACGCGCACTAGATTATGAGAGGATACAGTTTGATGACAATCAAAACACAGCACACCTGGGACTAAGATGGGATTTAAATAGCCAAAATCAACTACCAGGTCAACCAGACAGGTTATTTCATATCCCTGCATTATCCTCCATTCGGATCTCAAGATACACTGGACTTATCTCTATGCCCAGTCAGAGCTCTCAAAATCTATTTCTGACGTTCCAAAACAAAGGCGAAGATTTCTCAAGCGATTATTCATTCCCTTGTCGGCAACAACTCAGACAGAAGTCTCGTACCACCATATCTATATGGATAAGAACTGTCATGCCAGCCTACAAGGCAGCAGGACTGGACCCTCCAACAGCATCAAATCCCCATGAGATCAGGGCTTTGGCTTCCACTCTAAGCCCTACACGGTAACTGTTCTTTGGTAACTGTTCATTGAATACAATTATGGAAGGATGCTTGGAAATCTAACATGGTGTTTCACAAACACATGTTGCCACAATACACCGGTAATCTTTATTATGTAATATTCTCACCAACACTTTACGCTTGCATATCCACTTTCCAAATGGCGTCTCGTTGTTGATGCAAGCAGTGATCGTTAAAAAGGTAAACAAACACCCGGTAATCTTTATTATGTAATATTCGTAATGGTGTCTCGTCGTTGATGGAACATACTTGGGTACTCTGGTATCTCTGTTGGCGCCTAATTCACGACCCATTGCTAATCACTACCTGAGAGATATCACCACCGAGGGCGTCTCAGGCATTCACCATTTAGGTCCCTTGGTCCTCACACAGCAGTTATAAGGTCATGAGGTGGGTGGGGTGGCCTAAGGTGGATTGTATATTATAAGTTGGTGGATTGTGGTGTACCACAAGATAGGTAGTACATCATGAGGTGTGTGGGGGTGTTGCCTAAGGTTGATTGTACCACAAGATGGGTACTACATCATGAGGTGGGTTGGGGGTGTGGCCTAAGGTTGATTGTATATTATAAGGTGGATCGTGGTGTACCACAAGATTGGTAGTACATCATGAGGTATGGGTGGAAGGCGTGGCCTAAGGTGGATTAACATATTATGGGGTGGATTGTGGTGTACCACAAGATAGAGTAGTTACATCATGAGGTGGGTGGGGGATGACCTAAGGTGGATTGTATATTATAAAGGTGGATTGTGGTGTACCACAAGATAGGTAGTACATCATGAGGTGGGTGGGTGGGGGCATTGCCTAAGGTGGATTGTATATTATAAGGTGGATTGTGGTGTACCACAAGATAGGTAGTACATCATGATATGAGGTGGGTGGGGGGGTGACCTAAGGTGGATTGTATATTATAAAGGTGGAGTATTGAGGGTGTACCACAAGATAGGTAGTACATCATGAGGTGGGTGGGTGGGGGCATGGCCTAAGGTTGATTAATATATTATAAGGTGGATTGTGGTGTACACAAGATAGGTAGTACATCATAGCGAGGTGGGTGGGGGCATGGCCCTAAGGTGGATTGTATATTATAAAGGTGGATTGTGGTGTACCACAAGATGAGTAGTAGTACATCTTGAGGTGGGTGGGGGCATGGCCTAAGGTGGATTGTATATTATAAGGTGGATTGTGGTGTACCACAAGATAGGTAGTACATCATGAGGTGGGTGGGGGCATGGCCTAAGGTGGATTGTATATTATAAGGTGGATTGTGGTGTACCACAAGATAGGTAGTACATCATGAGGGTGGGTGGGAAGCAGTGGCCTAAGGTGGATTGTATATTATAAGGTGGATTGTGGTGTACCACAAGATAGAGTGTATCCTCATAAGCGTTAACCGCGTAGTCTTCACGAGATTAATATGCATAATTGTTACATGCATTATCTAGCTTATAACTCTCACGGAGTTCTAGCACTATGTATATATGTTCAGTGGTATAGCTTCTCTATCAGAGGTGCTTTGATATTGTTGTTTATAATATCTCAGTATATTATTAATGTAAATACCCCAGTATGGCATTATAACCCATGGCTTATAATAGAGGAATTATCCTAAGTCTATGCCTTTATGAAGTTCCGTAGGGAGTTATTACAGTTATATCTATATAAATCACTAATTCTATAAATCCAAAGTATTCTGTTTTGCCCACCTCCGTTTCCGTAGGGATTCTACAAACAAAGAGCATGAGTCAGGATAAGGAAAAATATGTAATTTTTGAGTAAAATTGATATTTTATACTTATCCTGACTCATGAGGTTAACCTCTCATCCTCCCCACATAACACTTTGGATTTCCCTGTAAGTTCAAGTGTTGGGCTAGCAAAATCAGGAGAGAGTGAAGCATGAGGCCAGAGGGTGGCGACACCTGTTCCCGCCAAAAGGGCAAGGGAGGCAACTCTTGGTGAGTACCAATTAGTGATTTTACATTGAAGGGAGCTTCAATTAAGGAGATACAAGTGTTCCACTATGTTCGCAAGAAGAAGAAGACAAGCAAAAGAGCATGAGTCAGGATAAGTATAAAATATCAATTTTACTCAAAAAAATACATTTTTTATTGTTTCAGTCTATGACATTGAAGGAGGCATGTAAGTCAGCTCTGACGATTCTAAAACAGGTGATGGAGGAGAAACTTAATTCCACAAATGTTGAGGTGAGTGGTTCATGTTTGCCAGGCTGATCAAACAGTTACATTCCCTTCACCTGGCTCCCAGATCACTTCTACAAGCCTGTGTAGCTTAAGTCTGGAGACCTCCTCAGGGGGTACGTAAGTCCCAAAACTTTCAAAGTCAATTTAAACTTGCCAGGATTTTTAGACGTAGCATTCTTGTCTTTTTAATTGTAGCTAACATTTCTTACAATCACCAGCAGCTGAAGGGATGGTGTAAATCCAACTAGGGTCCATGCAGGTAGCCAAGGTACTGTAAGTCCCCATGGTCCCTAGTTTGGTGATCTACCTTCTGGTGTTGGCGATCTATAGCTTGTTTTTAAATTGTATTGTCCAAATAGCGCTATCAGTTTTAACTCTCCATACTAGTTTTAGTTGTAATTGTGATATTCTAGTTGTTTTACTGTCCTTCGTCGACAGGTGTTATTATTTCTCTATATATTCTATTTAATGTCAAGTGTTCTCGTCACGATATGGCTGAAATATTGCCGATGTGACGTTAAATAACTCACTCACTCACTAAGTCTGGAGAGAGGTGGTGGAGTAGTCTAATGGTTAAATCGTTCGCTCATCACGCTGAAGATCTGGGTTCGAGTCCCTACATGGGTACAATGTGTGAAGCCTATTTCTGGTGCTTCCCTGCCATGATATTGCTGGAATAATGCTTATCGCGGCTTAAAACTAAACTAACTCACTCTTTCTCATTATGAGTTGAATAACCTGTTTGATGTTGTGAAGGGTAACACATTTGTTTATATTTACAGATGTCGACAGTAACGCCTCAACGCAACTTCCACATGTTCTCTAAGGAGGAACTGGAGGATGTTATAAAGGACCTGTGAGAGATGCTTCCTGATGTATGTCTGACTCAGTCAGCCCACAGATCACAGTGCTTACAACATGTCCCCACAGTCTCTCTTCATATACACACATCTTCTTACCAGTCCAATTTGGGCAGAGAGAATGTAAAACTGCTTGACACAGAAGTTTCATTTTCTGCAGTTTTCTTTTTGTTGAAATATCAACTTTCCAAGAGGCATTCAAACACCCAATTTCAATTATCTCAATCTGAGATAACCTTATTTGTGATCATTGCATCTAAATGAAATGTGCAGCTTCACATGTTTGGTATTCATTATTTTGCTTTTTGATGTTATCATCATTAAGTTTCCCTTTCATCTTGTTCCAAACTGTGTCCCTGGCTGAAGAATCACATGTATTTGATGAGTGCTTGTGTGGGCTTTGTTGTAGAAGTTATCATCATTTCAGTGAGAAACATGTGCATCCTATTACAGTAATTACTTTCAAAGAAAGTAAATATTTAGATCAATTAAGTCAAAAATATTTAAGGAGTGTCCATTGTTTCCGATGTGTTGAAAGTTTCAGGACAACTGGCAACAGGATGATGTTATTTGTTACTTGACTGCAATTTGTGTACAGCTTTGTGATCGCTGACAGATGCTGTCTTCATTTCCATGCTCTTTGCAAATCACTTGTACAACATTGTGTGAGCACAATGTAAATAGTGTATTTTGATGGTGGACTCAATATTAAACATTATCATCAATATATGTGTTGTTGATGTGTTGAGGGGGCAGTGGGGTAGCCTGGTGGTTAAACCGTTCACTTGTCATGCCGAAGACCCGGGTTTGATTCCCCACATGAGTACAATGTGTGAAGCCCATTTCTGGTGTCCCCCAGCTGTGATATTGCTGGAATATTGCTAAAAGGGGGCATAAAACTACACTCACTCACTCACTGATGTTGAGAGATTTAACACAAATGTTCGTGATACACCTCGATGTAGAATTTCCGCTTCCATAAACTGTGCTTGTGTGCGATATTTAAAATCAGAATTTTTCCTCTGGTAGACCTGTTATGTGTGATCATTCACGATCACTGTTTTCGATGTCATCAGATAAGCTTTCAGTTCAGACTGTCGATGCAGTATTGAGGTATGTGTGAATGAATCATTTAGAACAGCTGAATATTCTGTATCTGGAAAACAAATGTGATGGGGCAGATCAGAACAGGAATAATAAAACCACATGCTGTTGTGGACATGGTATACACTATCTTTTCTGAGAGCCACAGGGCCTGTGATTACTTTGAAAACAACCTTGGGTGCAGATACTTGTATCTAATCAAATTACTATATTTTGGAAAAATGTTTTCCTGATATTGTCTATACATGTTCGTAGAAGCATCACCACTTTCCAGTGTGCCTAGAAAATATCTAAACGATTGACTTGACCGGTCGTTTGACCAGTTTAGATGCGCCTCATAAACAGTACCATGCTCCCGAAGTATATACAAGAACTTAGTTAAGCACCCCCTGATACATCTCACGATTAAATGAGCCCAGATCTTAGTCCTTTGTGGCATATCTGGGATGTGATTGGTCGTTGTGTGCAACAAGGGGATAAAAAATCAACATGGATTCCAGTCATTTTTTTATGAGTCAAAGGATCATACGGGTCAGAAAAACTATCATCGCGAAAATACAGGGGCGCCTCAATTTTATAGTTCCCGGTTGTATGCAAATACTTTGCTGGCACGACTTCATTCAGTATTAAAGTATATGTTATTATGAGGCTCTTTAACGTAATAACATTAATGTTCCTCTTAACACTGTCGTTTTTGTGTAAATGTTATGATATGTGGAACATCTGGATAAGGGTTCCGTTGATGTGTAATATTTTGATCTCCGCTCTAAGGATATCGAGGCGAGAGGTGGGTCCCTTTTGCACGCCATAAACAAATGGCCGATTATGTTTCTCTAAGCACCAGAGCAGTACTCGTGGTTTTTACCAAAATGGTAAATGTCTGAAACCTCAATCGATTTGGGTGCGGTGGAGTAGCGTAGTGGTTAAAGCGTTCAATCGTCACGCAGGAAGATCCGGGTTCGATTCCCAATATGGGTACACTGTGTGAAGCCCATTTCTGGTGTCCCTGCCCCATTTTGATCATTGCAAGTGGACACGTATGGCTTGCAAACGAAGCGGTCATAAAATGTCCAAGAGGATTTGTGATTATATACCCGTGCGGTTTATAGTCCAGATCCGGACCAACGCCTCACACCTTCGTTAGATGTTTTATCCGCTCCCGTTTCTTAAGACGATAATGGCAGAGTTGCATGTGCACGTCTCCATTTCGTTCCTCTGTAGGTTCATTACGTATCAAGAATACTGTTCCAGTTCCAATTCTTAGCAAAGTCGCAAGCTTGGGCTGATCCGTGTGGTAGCATTGGCTCTAGACTTGCACAAGGAAATAATTAATAGTTTAAATGACAATTTCTAAACAAAATATAAATAACATATTGGGGTCCTTAGATGTACTGTCCGCTTATCTTGATTTGCCTCTTTAAAGGATAGAATTACTACACATGCATGGGTTTAGCACTCAGTGCAGCCTTGGAGCAAGGCTACATCGAGTAAAGCACTTTAGGGAGCACTGAATCTCTTCAGGAAGAAATTCCTTCATGTGCTGTGACTCGTTCCATGGCCAACAATATCTGAACAATGATTTCACTTACAATCTTGCTTGTAATATATGGGATCGTCCTCTTCAGGATACCTTTTCGTTACAATGAGTCTACTTTTCGAACTACAGAGGAGCTGAAGATGAGTAGAATGGATAGTAGAAAGTTAGTAGTGGACACATGCTCCTATGGATGGCCATGGGGTGTTAACAAATTATGTTGATGGAACCACATGGGTTCGAATCACTGTTTACACTGTAGTGTTGCGGTAGAATTTTCTAAAAAAATCATTTCTTCACCGATTTCGTTCAAATTTGGAATATATCTTAATCATAACATATAAAAACAATATACGACTGCAAAAGTCTAGATTTGTATTTTTAAAAATTATTGGCCAAACAGTGATTCGAACCCTGTGGATGGAATTGTTATGCAAAGTAGTATCCCGGGTAGGAGCTCAGCTGAAAGCAGGCCAGCTGACCCTACTAATTAAGTGCATGCACTGGTCAGTGAGATACCAATGTCTTTACAATACAGTCAGCTCTCGTTAATCCGACACTCATTAATCCGACAATCACGTTAATCCGACAAAAAATTAGGGAACCATTTAAAACAGTGATAATTACTCTCGTTAATCCGACATTCTCTCATTCCGACTCCGACACACCAATCTAGCAGCTGATTATTGTAAATACAGTGTAAAAACATTCGTTAATCCGACAATCAACACAGCCGGTCGGATGATCCGACCGTATACAAACAATCACACGTGAGTGATAATTGTACTCACAGGGATGACAACGGGCAGGAAGGGAGCTAATCGATGCACTGGATAGCAGATCAGAAATATATTTTGTAAGACTTTTCCATGCATACCAGGAGGCAGGTAACACTAATCAGGAGGATGCTACTGTTGAGGACTTGGAACTAAGGTCCTCACATAGGTGACAAAAAGGTCGGTGAAACCAGGGAGACTATATAAGCTCCTAAGCTATGCCTCGGCTCGTCACGTGACCAGTGTAGCCAATATGGCGACAGCGTAGTTTTAAGATTGAGCCTGGTTTATTTTCAACAGCTGATTACATACGCTGAGTGTTGTGACAACTTAAAACCTACATGTAGAAGATAAATTACCTATTCTGTCACTTCATTTTAAGTCAAATAATTGTTATTAGTGTCAGTATAAGTACAGTAGATTTGTAGTAAAGTTTCAAGTGGGCATGTTGTAGCTCACTGGCTTCAATTCTCAGTACACAGGGAAGAAAGACTAAATTATATCCCTAAAAACTTCTTTCACATATTCGTTTATTTTTTAGAAGGGAAATATACCTTTAGTTGAAAGGTGTTTGCAAGTAATAGTGATATTTTTATAACTAAAAAAAATTTGTAAGGGTGTATTTGAGGTGTGTGAAAAATATGACATATCGCCGATCTGCCATTGAAATACTACAGGGCGTTGTTTGAGTGTTTCTAGTTATTGTTCAAAAACATCTTTCACATACACCTTCAATTTTTATGAGGGGAATATACCATCAGGTGAAAGGTTTTTGCAAGTAATAGTAATAGTTTTATAATTTAAAAATTTTTGTTAGTGTGCATTTGAGGTGTGTGACAAATATGACATATCGCCGATCTGTCATTGAAATACTACAGGGCGTTGTTTGAGTGTTTCTAGTTATTGTTCTAAAACATCTTTCACATACACCTTTAATTTTTATGAGGGGAATATACCATCAGGTGAAAGGTTTTTGCAAGTAATAGTGATAGTTTTAAATTGTTTTTGTTTTTGTTAGGGTGTATTTGAGGTGTGTGAAAAATATGACATATCGCCGATCTGTTCTGATACGCCATTGGTGCTTGTGATGCTTGAGTGTTATAGTTCTAAAACTTCTTTCTTTCTTGTTGGTCTTAGTATTTGACAAAACTGGAAAGGTGTTTACAACGCTTTGTGATAGTTCTAAACTTTCTGTTCTTGAGGGGACTGTGACAGTGTCAGTTAACATTCTGTCAATGCCCATGTCATTCCACACATGCAATAAGATATCTGAATTAGTTACTAAAGTAAAAAATTGTCTCAAAGTAATTTTTTTGGGAAAAAGGACAGCTGATGTTAACACATGTGTTCTACCGATAGTTTTGCGTTCTTTAACATGTTTGGGGAGGGATGGCCCAGCACCCACCACGACGAGGTGGCTCTTCACGGGTGCCACTACAACAAGAGGTTGTGTTGTGCAACCTGACAACATTACAGCCTGAACTACATATATAGTCTCCCTGATATTACATGTGATACCGATTACAACCATATAAGGACATATCTCGTCACCTTATTGATAGGAAATTCATTTCCAAGAACATGATTATGCTGTGACGAATTGCACGTACCATGTCTGTGACGGTCGTATATATTCTCTGTGTGTTTCCTTCCTTCTGCAGTTACTGCACGTCGTTAATGGGACGTTGTTCGCGTGAATTGCAGGTGAGTTTGTCTCTTCTACTGAAATATCTCTTTTTTATTGTTGTGTGATTGCCTAAGACCAGGTGTTGCTTCATAGTAACATGCAAGAGGGGAGACAGATGTGTATGTGTGAATGTATGTTTAACATAAAATGTATCAGGCCATGACGCAAAGGGAGTGTTATTGTTCCTATCGCATCTGTATCAAAGTCAGACAGTTGAGTAGGATGTAGACTAACAACTAGTCTCTGAAATGAACATATTTTACTGAAAAAAAAGTTCATAGTAGAAAAAAAATAAATATAATGAAAAGGAGCCCTGAGACTTTCTTCATTTTCAGACCTGAAGCTGAGGAAATCTAGACTTGCCACTTTTTCTAGACTTGTGTGGGCTTTCTTGGATATATTTGCTTCAGGGTCTGTACGAGAGACTAAGTAGGATGTCGCTGAGTGTTTTATCCAGGGAGCAAACTCCCTCCGAAACAAAGTAAGATGAATGTTAGTGTTAGAATCCGCACGCGTTCACGATAAAAGTATCCAATAGGCTGAACATTGAACAGAAGCCCTCCAACAGATTTCAACATAAGTGTGATTGTCCTGCAACAGGCGGTCATATTCCTATCATAATCA